CCCCCCCCCCCCCCCAACTCTGGGGCTTCTTTTTTCCAAAAAAATAGGGGGATTGACCGTTACATTATGATGGCTGAACGGCATGTTTGGTGGGATGGGGATTCGAATCCATGACCTGCAGAATGCGAGTCGAGTACTCTAACCACCTGGCCATGCTGGGCCAGTCCTCTTGGTATAATCTGTTTTGTGAAAATTCCAGTTTTTAGCCATGATAAATAATGTTTTAAACTCTCATTTTTTCCACAAACAAGGTCAGTACTGTTCGCTGAAATATACTCATGTGTGATGTTTAAATTCAAAAGTTTTATTAGTTTTCTTTACACACAACAATGGATTTACTGAGCAAAAAAAGACCAATTAAAACTTGTACATAATATATATAAAAAACTCGATATAATGGAGCTCTTATTTGTAAATAAGTTGTGTATATAATTGTTCTGACAACTGGAGGTATGTGAATATTCTGCTTTATTCAATATGGTCCCAATCACCAAGTCATAACTTTTTGAACATGCATTTTACTTTTTTGGCAGCTTTTAGCTTCTGGTGTACTTGCCCCAGATGTGAAGCATGAAAACTGAAGCAATGAACAACAGGCTCATAACCAACACTGGCACAGGTCCTCTGAAATAAACATTTAATACATTAGTCAGAGATGTACAATAGCTACAGACATACATTAAAAAACAAAAAAGGAGTTATCAGCAATTGGAAGCAGCACAGAAGTTTTAAACCAAAATACTCTTGAATTTAAGAAGACAAGTAAACAAACTGACAAAAAGTTTTGGGCATTCTGAATAAATAGAATACTGAAAAATGAAAAGGAGATTAGTGAAATGTAATCTTTCATTGGGTGAACTGAAATCTAGTTTTGACCTTTATTACACACAAATTTCATATAAAGGAATCTAGAAAAATGGATTATTATTATCATTTTACACAAAGCATTAATATTACTCTCTAAGATTTGTTGATACAACAACTATCAAATGAGTGTTTTATGATGATTTCATAAATACAGCTTGGGTGATTGTTAGTAAATATACTAGTTTTATAGCATAAATAAATCATATATTAATAGGGTGAGTGATTGAAAACATTTTTTCCAAGTAGGTAAACATGAATGAAGATACTTGCATATCTTTTATGTTTGATCATAATCTTAAACTTCATAACATACTATGATTACAATTTCTATATCCTCGACTCAAAATATTCCTAGGATTATTAACCTTACATACAGTTATAAGATATAAACCTATTAAATAACTAGCCATTCATTGGTGGATTTTATTGAACATTAATCTAACAAACAACAAAAATCTAATCTTCCAATTAAAACATGTCTTTTTATTAAAGTTATTTCTTATGGCAGTCTGACTTGACTTTATAAATGACACAACTGTATTTGAATTGAACAGTAATTTTAACTAACTCTATGGTTTACTTTTTTTAATGAATTCAAATAACAAACTTTAATATTTGTATTTGGGTATCTATTACTGAATATACCGTTTTGGCCCTACTATAAGATGATGTTTTTTAATTAATAATTAGGCTGTAAAATTCATAGTTGCCTTATAATAGCAGCCAACCACAGGCCCCTTCTCCTACTCTAGCCCGTCACATTCCTGGATGTCGAGATAGCATCCATCTACGTATGCTCAAGTTCATCACTAATTCTTGCAACTAATCCACCTGCATTCTGTTCAGTTATAGTATTGATTTTGTGGACCTAAAAAATACCATCATGACACTCAATTTTTTTTCTTTACAATGGTTTCTGAAAATTGGGGTCGCCTTATATTTGAGATCGCCCTATAATCGCGCCAATATGGTAAATTGGCTTAAGTATATAGTTCATTTTAACTGGACTGCTACATTTGGATGTGATCAGAAGTTAATGATAAAAATCAAATATTTTTACCACTTTCTTACTTCCCCCTTTTTGTCACAAATACTATTATTGTATTTTATTATGCTATATTTTTTCTTGTACATCTAAGAAACTGCTTACACTTTAATGCCAGGTGAATCATCAGTGTAAAACCTCCACATTCCCCCAGTTCCTGCAGCAGCAGGTCCTCTGGTACGCCCTCCTCCAGCAGCTCCAGAAACAGTTTTCCTAAAGAAAATAAAAAGTTATTTACTGCATTTTCAACCAGAGCAAAAAAAAACTAATTGGTAATTTTGAGGTTGAATGAGCACTATACTGGTCTTCGTTTGCTGCTACAAACACTAATTGTTGGATATATTTCCTACAACACGTATAATAACTATTTTATTAAAACAACTTTTACTTTATAGGGCTTCTAATTTCCACTTTCTAAATTACTTGAAAACTTCTATATACATGAAAACACAGTTCTGCAGTACGTTATAAAATAAAATAAAGTATATTACACATAAAAGTACAGTTCCATAGGTTCACAATCTCTAAGTATTACGACTCAATAGAATATTAATCCGGAAACAGTGACTATTTATTTATATAATTTTTTATGAATAAACTTGAAAATGAAGAACAGTTTTGTTAAGGCAAATTTGCTGTAAGTTGCATAAATTGAAAAGTCCAAAAGTTATTATGAAAAAATTGTTTCAGTTAATAAATATGAATAACTGAAAGGACTAGTATAATAAATTGATAAAAAAATTAAGAATTTTTTTTTAAATTTTTGCAATAGGAGTTAATACATGAGTTGTAGTCAAAGATATCTACATAACAATGTCAAAGAATTTTAATAATGCAAATTATGTTTCACTAATTGAGTTTCTTACCTTTGCTTTACTGTAGAACCTCCTGATGACCGAGGTGACATAGCATTAGGAGAACGACCTCCACCAACACTTGTAGAACTTGGTGATGCAGGCTTGAAAACGAGAAAGATGATTTTGTACATTTTCTTTACCTCACACTTCCAAACTGTACATCATTGTAATTCATAACATACACATTATATATAACTACATTAACTGTAAATTATATACAACCTTTAAAACACAACAATCAGAATATTTTATAACAATGGATTTATGAGTACATATTATATTATGTATAAAAATCACTGGCCCACTTTTTATCAAAATTTGAATTTACTTTATTACTTATGTCTACAACAGAAATTGTGCTGAATCTCATAGTTATCACAAAAAATACAAGTTTTGAGTTTATTCATATAAAATGCCTTTTTATTTATATTATTATGTGCATAAAATATTTCTGAATACATGACAAAATGCTTCTACTCAGGTTTTTTGACTTGTTGCTTCTTAAATAATTTTAAATTCAATTCTGTTGTTCTTAATATATGATTTTGGGCACAGAAATTAAACTGAACATAATTAATATCACCTAACTGAAATGGTAATGTTTTTATTTCATTCTGAAGTGCAGGTTTAAAAGTTCAGTGGCAAGAATCTTTCATCCACCAATAGTACAAATTATCCTGTCCAATTAATTTAAAAGCGGCACTCTTTGGAGCTCTTGCAATCTTCATTTACAAAAATATATTACTTCTATGAAGATGATACACCAACCTAATGCTGTATGACACACATTATTTAAAATGTAATTAAATTCAATGTCATTGAAAAATATAATATCCAACAAAAAATAACAAGAAACATTTGATTACAAATTTTTACTCCTCAAATTTGTCTGCTTTTATAATTATAGCGTTCGTTACTGGTCATTTCTACATATTGTACCACTGCTAGAATATATTAGCAGTTTTAATACTTTGCCTGTTACTGTTACAACTGCCAATGTATAAGAATAGAACAAATGGGAAGAATAACTCATTTTAAAGATTAAATACACTGGATATCTCAGCCGTAATTAGTTACATTAAGTGGAATACTTATGATATTCTAGAGAAGTTCTAAACATATTGTCAATTAGTAAGTATGGTTTCAGTATTTCATACGATCGCTTTACAAATTAGTGTTACTGTTAGTCACAAAGTTTACAAATTGTACAAACTACATTATAATTTATAGATCACAGAAACTTGAATCTCATATTCATAAAATAGATAGAAATAATAAAATTGTTCTTATTCATCATAGTAACGTACACGTTTACTGTTCACTTCTATAATATTTGTTTTTTTAACTTACCATGGTTATTTCTAAAAGAACAAACAGTGGCACGATGCTCCAACAAGAAGGGCTAAGAATTGTTCAGTAAGTAACGTCATCAAAAATGGAAAGAAAGAAAAATTACAGTGCCATCTAGCATACATTATTAATACTACTGTTGAATATATTTTATTGTGATTTTTAAGTTTCATTTGAAAATATTTTACAATATATTAAGAACAGGTAAGTTCGTTTGAAACTATTTCAAGTGAAGTAAATAACAGCTTATTTTAATTACATGTTTTGTAATTTGTTGTTTTTGCGTAGGTTTATGAGTCCGAAAGTTTATCATAGTTGACATATTATAACATCTTCTCCTTTGCTTTCATTCATGGGTTCCTAGAGCTAACCTAAACTTCCTAAGTTTGACGAACCTGGTTATATATGGAGGTTACGGCCAAAAATGTCGTTAATGGCGAAAGTACACAAATGGTAAGTCGGTACAAATCATTCATTACAGGTTTTGGTTTTCTGTTATATTACTTTATAACATGCAGTATTTCTAATCCTTTTGTTATACAGAAATGTCTGAGGTTACCTTTTGCTACCCAAAGCTTACTTTTGTATTATGATTTGTAATTTGTGAGATAGTGAGTTATATTTTTATTTTGTTATGGTTTTGTTTACTGTTCATTTATTATTCCTTCTATTGTTTAGTTCAACTATGAATTTTTAGTTACATTAAAGCGTTTGCTCACCTTCTATCTGAAGCATACTGATTTTGAGTATGTATGTATTATGAAACTGGCACAAGCTTCCCCTAGCAGTGACGTACAGATATTAATATTATGAAAGATTACGTAGTGTTATGGTAATAGCTAGTCACAATAGATATAACCTCGTGGTCTTATTTGTTTCTTTGAAGTTAAGCATAAAGTTACACAATAGGCTATCTGTGCTATGCCCACCACGGGTATCGAAACCCGGTTTCTAGCTTTGTAGGTCCGCAGATATACCGCTGTGCCACTGGGGGGGGGGGTCACCTCGTGGTCTAACCACTAAATAAAATCCTTTCTTGATCTTGAAAACGAGTTAGTTCACGAGATATAGCTAGAAAGAATTATCACTAATTGGTTTTCTTGATATTGAGAAACGGTTCAATTTTAAAACATTGTGTTATTCTCTGGTGAATTATATTTTTTATTCTGGCTGTTTTTCTAATTCTAGAGGTGTCGTTAGGCACTGGCAGACGGGCCCTGTGCCCTGAATCCCCAGTTGGTGTCTTGAAAAATCAGAATAGAAAACCATGATCGATATCATACTGAAACGCCAAAAATTTCTGCACATATGGACCCGAGCCCTGAGTTTTTTAAGCATGTAGCGACGACTATAGCTAATTCCTTTGATATTTAAGTTAAAAATAGTGAGATACATTCTGTACATCAGATACTAGGTATATAAACTTATATCACTAATCTTATTAATTACTAGTAGAGCTAAATGTATTG